GTATGGTGTAGGAGAATGGACTAAGGGACTTATCGGTGAAGTATACCTACCTTTTACGTATGGTGTAGGAGAATGGACTAAGGGACTTATTGGTGAAGTATACCAACCTTTTACGTATGGTGTAGGAGAATGGACTAAGGGACTTATCGGTGAAGTATAATACTTTTGTGGACTCCTTAGAGCTGATGGGTGTTGATGTGGTCGGCTGACCACCGCCGTCTAGATGTTTGTAGGGAACATCTGCAAACAGACACACTTTACCATCACACCAATGATTATATTCAACTGGAAAGGATTCTGACAAGAGTAGTGAGTGACCTGAGTTTGTGTAATCTTGTCACTGGAATGCCATTCTGTTTCTACCCTAGGTACAACCCCAGATAATTAACCATAGGTTACCCCTAGCATTAATGAAATACCAAAATCAGTTGTGGAGTTTTCATTCAGAAACATCTTATTTAATACATTTAAAGTAGGATAATAATCACAACATACTCAGCGTCCTGATGAAGCCTCACCTTTAGAGGCGAAACTAGTCGGCCAAATAAACTTTAAAACCTACTTATTGGTGACGCTGGAGTATGTTGTGATTATGATCCTACATTAAATGTATATATTACAGTTCTGTAATTACCCTGCATACCGTTTGGTATCCGTTCTCAAAGCGAAGCGTCCCATTGATCAACCCACAAACATATGACTGGCAACTCTTTTCACCCCTAGGTAACTTGAGTAGACTCTACCATACATTCATTTGGATGAGTCCACTATACTCTACAGTGGTGAAAGGGTTAATTGATACTGAAGTTTTAGAAAATATTGTTAAACAAAAATATTCATGAGTTATTCAGGCAATCATTTAAGAAATTCTGCAAAGGGAGACAATCCTATAGTGTAGAGTATATAATAGGTCAATAGGAAAGTTTGGAAGCCACAGTTATGTATAAGTTCTGTCCAACATATGCCTGATCAGGGCCACTCACTTGCCGTTCAAGCGTCGTGCCATATGACCACTCTGGAATAACAACAAGAAATAGTTGTCAATTGACCAGGACATCATTTACAGCAAACACTCAATATAACATCAATCATTTATTCGCCATCTCATTAACTGCCAACAAATTCTGCGACCCCCTTTTCCTTTTCTTTTAAGGGTTCCCCTCATTGTATCACAGAACCTCTTTATAACGCCATAATTCTGCTGGACAGATGATGACAATAGAGCTTGTTTACACTGCACCATAAATACAATCACTTATGTAGCTCAAGTGATCTGAACCGTTACTTATTGTTTCAATAACAGAACATGTTCTATAGCTAAAGCTTAGTCTAAAATAACAAAGATACAAACAAATATTTCATTCAGTAACTAGAACATGTGTGTAGAACTCATATGTTTTCTCATTGCTGCTTTGACAGAATTGGAGCTTGACAAAAATTCCCACCAAACAAATAGAGCTAAATGCACTCAGGTGACCTCTCATTCAATATCAGAAGTATTTATCCGCAAAAAAGCCCAGGGGCCGATACAAAATTTCTAACTTAAATTAGGAAGGTAGACTCTATATATTATAATACAATGAAATAGCATTTGTTTGCATTTTTACTGAGCTGCAATAGATAAGGGCGGGCTTATCACCAGGCATGGGCTTATTGTAAGATAAATACGGTACCTCACTTGTATTATGTTCTTAACAAAAAATTTAGAGGGTAGCAAGCCGGTTGCTAGAGCAGACAGAGTTGTCAGACCTTTCACATCATGGTAAAAGGATGGAATTAACTCGATTTGTAAAGAATTTACCTGCGAGTCCCCGACTGAGAAGGCTGTGTTGACAAGCCAATTACTAGTTCAAAAATTCACCAAAATTTGACTGAGTTGTCAGAACTTCAACATCATCGTAATGGGAAGGACTTTACTCAATTTGTAAAGATTTTACCTGTGCGTCCCCTCAGCCGACCGAAGAGGTTGCGGACATCGAGATTTTATCGAGGAGAGCTGACACGCTCTGTTCCAGTGTGTCTATCGTGTGCTGCTGTGGATCTGTACCCTTGAAGCTCAGACACAGGTTATGTAGCGAGTCCCGTACCACCTGAAGTTCATCACCCGTCCCCTGGAAACACAACAACGATTTATCATCATTTATCATCAACAGATAAAGAGGTCAAGTTATTGAAAGGGTGCATGTTCCTCTCGTCAAAATAACAACAATATGTGAATCTTGCTTGTTGTGGGTTTTACATCCTGTTAATGTTTAATGACATTCAAGGTTTTGTTGGCGCAGGATAATCACAAATCGGGCCGCAGTGGCCAAGCCACTAGCCCTCCACCACTGGGTCGCGGGTTTGAGGCCTACATGGGGCAGTCGCCAGGTACTGGCCGTAGGTCGGTGGTTTTTCTCCGGGAACTTCGGCTTTCCTCCACCACCAAAACCTGGCACGTCCTTAAATGACCATAGCTGTTAGTAGAGTTAAACAAGAGGCCAAATGGGCCTGCATCGCTCACCTGGTATAAATCTCACAATTGTAACCATAAAGTGGAATAAAATAAAGCTACAGGCAAAATATCAGTGTCTTGACTTAAAGTCATTCAGAAGGACCTGTTAAATGATTAAAACACATTTGACCCCTGTGACCTTGAAAGTCAAACATGGACATTATGGTGAACAAACTTCATAGCCCTTCCTCCCAGAATGCAAATTGCCAAATATCACCACCTTATACCTTTTGTTTATTGAGAAGATGACTTTTAAAGATTTCTGCACTATGGACCAGATGTGACCATGAAAGTGTGTCAAGGTCATTCACACCAACAAGCAATCACCCTTTGTGCTTTAGATATTCAGAAGAAGTTGTTTAAAGTTATTTCAACATATTTGACCCCTGTGACCTTGAATATGGGCAAAGGTCTTTCATTTAAACAAACTTTTTAGCCCTTCATGCCAACATCCTTCTGGCCAAATATCATCACCCTTGACCTTTTGGTTATACAGAAGAAGTCGTTTAAAGGTTTTCAAGACAATTGACCCCTGTGACCTTGACTATGGACGAAGGTCATTCATTTGAACAAAATTTGTAGCCCTTCATGCCAACATCCTTCTGGCCAAATATCATCACCTTGGACCTTTTTGTTATACAGAAGAAGTCGTTAAAAGTTTTTAAAATCACCTGGTACAGATGTATTAATCTCACACTTGTAATCTTAAAAGTGGACTAAAATACAGCTACAGGTATAATATCAGTGTTTGATTCATAAGAACCTATTAAAAGATTTAACCATATGACGCCTGTGACCTTGAATGTCGAACAAGGACATTAGGTTGAAAGTGGGTCAAGGTCATGTATTTGAACAAACATGGTAGCCCTTCATCCCAGCATGATACAGGCCCAATATCAGTACCCTTGGCCTTTTGGTTATTGAGAAGAAGCTGTTTGAAGATTTTAAGGCATTTGACCCCTGTCACCTTGAAAGTTGGTCAAGGTCATTCATTTGACAAAACTTTGTACCCTTTATCCGAGCATGCTACAGGCCCAATTTCAGTACCCTGGTCCTTGTGGCTATTGAGAAGAAGTCATTTGATTTGTTATTACTTCAGACATAGTGGATTGTTAGTGTTGGAGACACTTTTATTCGGAATTCATTTTCTCCGAAATTTTATCGGAACACTTTTATGACAAGTAAATTGTTCTCTGAATAAAACATAAACTAACTTGAGGGGAACATGTATTCTGTGTTTTCTAACTCAACCAATACTAAATACTAGAGAAAAAGAAACAATGCATCAATGAGTGGAATCAAACATTAAGTCCGAAAAATGTTAAAAAAAAATCTGTCTTGGTCAGTTACAAGACCATTCCACCCATCCGACTGGTCAGTAAATGAAGTATTCTGGCCATAACACTATTGGTCAGTTACAAGACCATCCCGGCTGTTTCAGTCTATTGGTGATTTGCATGGCAATTTAAAGTATATTTTACTCTCTGGGTCAGTTACAACATCTGACTTCACTGGTCAGTTACCAGAGAATTCTGGCCATAACTGTCCATTGGTCAGTTACGTACAAGATCATCTGACCATAAAGTTATCTCTATTGGTCAGCTAGAAGACAATTCCGACCATTTTACTCTACTGGTCAGTCAAATTTTATATTGGTAAGAAAATATCACTCTAAAACAGAGATCCTTATAGAGGTACATGTATCCTTTACCACAAAGAAAAACAGACGAATCCCTCGGATAAATGTCACGACTATTTATTTAAATATTTCAATGACAGAATTTCTACAGCAATGATTCAACTGTTCCATTATTCTGCAGAATGTTACACCAAACATTTCGGTAGAGGCAATACCGTGTTTTAAATATCTAGTCATGTATGGAAAAGGAGCTAACAAAGGATTGAAATAATTATAGACATAAGGTCATATCCAGGTATAAAGAATGTCAGGTGTGATTGTATCTATGGGTAGGTACGGGGAATACATACTGTCTATATTATATACATCACAGTTCTACTTCCTTATCAACCAGGTATATAGAAGGCCAGGCGTGATTGTATCTAGCTCTGTGGGTAGTTACGGGGAATACATACTGTCTATATTATATACAACACAGTTCTACTTCCTTATCAACCAGGTATATAGAAGGCCAGGTGTGATTGTATCTGTGGGTAGATACGGGGAATACATACTGTCTATATTATATACAACACAGTTCTACTTCCTTATCAACCAGGTATATAGAAGGCCAGGCGTGATTATATCTAGCTCTGTGGGTAGTTACGGGGAATACATACTGTCTATGTTATACATAATAAAGTTCTACTTCCCTATCAACCAGGTATATAGAAGGCCAGGCGTGATTGTATCTAGCTCTGTGGGTAGTTACGGGGAATACATACTGTCTATGTTATACATAACAAAGTTCTACTTCCCTATCAACCAGGTATATAGAAGGCCAGGCGTGATTATATCTAGCTCTGTGGGTAGTTACGGGGAATACACACTGTCTATATTATACACAAGTTTTGCTTGCCTTAAAATCAGGTTTTATTCCTCTAGCAGTCACCAGTGAGTAAGGTCGCCATTTAACAACCCGAAGCTGTACATGAAACGTAGAAGGTCAATTTTGTGAAAATAACCCCGAAGCTGAAGGAGCTGAAGAAGGAAATTACCCCATCAATTTTGTTTGGAAGTCACTGAATTTGGACATTCTGTAAGTATATAATGTGATGAAATAAGTTTAGGATCATTTTTTGTCTGAATTTATTTCTACAGCTAAACTAAGACCATTGGTTTGTTACAAGGTTAGCTTTATAACAATAGCTTTCTACTGGTCAGTTAAAAACCATAACACTCTGCTGGTCAGTTATAAACCAAATCATTCTACTGGTCAGTTATAAACAATAACACTCTACTGATGAGTTATAAACCAGACCAATCTACTGGTCAGTTGTAAACCATAACGCTCTACTGGTCAGTTCGAAACCATAACACTCTACTGGTCAGTTATAAACCATAACATTCTATTGATGAGTTATAAACCATACCACTCTACAGGTCAGTTATAAACCATATCATTCTACTGATCAGTTATAGACCATAACACCCTAGTGGTCAGTTATAAACCCTTTCATTCTACTGGTGAATGGTAAGTCTCCTTGTTCCAAAACACTATCTATCGGTCAGTTAGAAGACCTTTCTGGCCATATTATTCTTCCTATTGGTAAGAAAGAAGACCATTCTTAGCATATTATTCTCCCTATTGGTCAGTTGGAAGACCATTCTGACTCATCATTTTTCCTAATGGTCAGTTAGAAGACCATTCTGGCCATATTATTCTCCCTATTGGTCAGTTAGAAGACCATTCTGGCCATATTATTCTCCCTATTGATCAGTTAGAAGACCATTATGGCCATATCATTCTCTCTATCGGTCAGTTAGAAGACCATTCTGACAATATCATTTTTCCTGATGGTCAGTTAGAAGACCATTCTGGCCATATTTTTCTCATTATTGATAAGTTAGAAGACAATTCTGGCCAATAGGTTAGTCTTGTGTCATCGTAGAATGTAGATTCAAAGTGTGGTAAAGAGTTGTGATATTTCATACATGTAATAAGGCATTAGACCAAATCCTATTTATAAGTCATTATTCATATTTGAATAGCACTGATTTGAATGACACAAAAGCCAGTTCTACGACAAAGATTTAAATGTTTTCTATAGAAAGTTCCACATAAAACTTTCCTTTAATTTCTGTTCAGCACATACTGTAGTTTAAATATCAATATATAGACGCAACACAGCCTTTATCATAATTCAATACCCAGACCCTACCACCCTTAGTGGTTACGAGGGACACAAACCGTTCTTACAACATAGTTTACTTGCCTAACAACGATGTGGTGTTTTTGTCACCAGTGAGGACGCCAATCGATCAACAAGAGCGGTGAAAACATAACAAGACAAGTATATGAAGACATAACTGAATTTTGAATAGTTGAGTACAAATTCTAACAAAAAAGGCTTTGAATGTTCTCTTTATTAATTTCTCTGATTAAACTTACAAATCAATTTGTCTCTCAATATGCCGTCAGTTACATGTCCTTTCTGGCCTAACACAGTTTATTGGTCAGTTACAAGACCTTTTTGTCTGTTAAGTTTCTA